CCGCACCTGGTTCTTTGTATAGTGTCTACAGAGATGTTAAAAGGAAGTAAATATCTTGAAAAATCGTCAGCTAACTGACAATGTTCACCAACAAAATACGAAATTATCATCATAAAGGAAAAAATGACACTTCTTATCAGTTAGAATCAGGTTTTCAAATTCCAAGTTGATCAAAAAATTACCCATAAAAGTTGTACTGAGCAGGCTGAGATGCGAATCTATGGCTTAAAATGGTCTTTTAGTGGACGCAAGGTGAACTAGTAAAATAAGTTTGAAAGAACAGAACACTCAAAAAGCACATACAGCCCATCAAAAAACGGCAGACCGGAAAACTCAAAGTAACTGTATAAGGCAGATATTGACAAAGAAAAAGAAGAAACTAAACAGGCTTGATAGGAAAAACATAGCCGATCATCAGAATATATTCCAATCAATGACGGAGACAAGGGGGCCATGAGTTTTAAAAATTTTAATTCATAATATATAAATATATGTATAAGACAAAGCTGACTCCCTAATTTTTTACAATTTTAGTTTATATTATGAGAGTTTATATACATATATATATATCTGTGTGTGTATGAATTTGCCACCTTTGATTTAATTTTTTCTTCAAAAAAGTTATTTATTTTTTATTGTGCTAATTATTTAACGTTCAAAAAATTAAAAATATAATTTGATGATCCATAGTAAATTGACCCAAGTCGATATATAATAATAAAAGACTCAATTCATAATTATCAATGGGCTAAACCAAAAATAATTACTTTATTGGTCCATATACAAATATACAACTTAGCCTAATTGATAAAAAATGTAAAATTAGTGATTTATCCTCTTGTTGACTTATATACAAATATACAAATAATTACTTGAAAACTTGGTGAAGACAAGAAATTAAGCGATCTATCCTGTTGTTGACAGATTGATTATATTTGTTCTCACTCTTCCCGTGTCAACTGCAACTATAGAATGAACATTTTCAATTATGAGTATAATCACAACAAAACTCCAAAACAAGAGAAAAGATAATTTCTTGAATGATTGTCTAACAATGTACATAAAAAAAGGAAAGTTGTTCAAGAATTTAGCACTGATTCAATTATAGATGAATTTAGTTCTGTGAAAGAACATAAATCTCAATTTACTTTTAAGAAAAGAGGTTGAAATATCAAGATATGCTAACATAACTTTTATCTTTTATTAATTGAAAATAGTTATATTTTGTTTTTGCATAAGTGACATATTGGAGCATCTTCTCATAATGTACAATTTGGATAATTTGTGATGTTATAAGATATTTAATTAAAGGTTATTTCTTGCCCTAATTTTTGTTATGACTATGCTGCTTATTTATGAAATAGACATGCCTTTATAATTAAAGTTAATATTTGATATTTTAAGATGTCATATATTTAAATAAATGAGAACTATTTTGAACATAACATATTAAGGTAATTTTGTTCGAAAAAATTTTGGCCCCCCGAAGGAAAAAATCTTGGCTCCGTCGCTGAACCTCTATCCCAGTGATCAATACACGCCTACCTATTGTTTTAGATCCCTCAGGAACTGCTGGCATTGTAGGAGGTGGGAAAAGTTTGTTGGGATGACTAGCAGCTTGAAGTTGTTGATTACTGAACCTTGTTGATTTAACACGTTTCAAAGCCTCAAGTATTTCTGACATTTGGGGCCGCTTAGAAGGCTTGTGGTGGACACAAGCCTTGGCAATGAAAGCAACTGCCCAAACTTCTGTCAAATGCTGTTTCTTGTCGTTTGAAACAACAACATAGCGTAGGGTCTTTTCCATCCAATCCTTCTCCTTCGTAATGGAGTCATTGCCAGCACTAGCACCCAGCTTGCTGGTGACTAGCTCAAGCAAAATCTTTCCAAAGCAATAAACATCATAAGAGCGTCTTGCCGTAGATTTACCTGCAGTTCAGGAGATAGATTAAGACAATTACATAGTTGAAAATCAGCATCCTTTTGTGCTTGACATATCAAACTTCTTTTATACTTTTATCCTTCCGTGTCCAATATATAAGTGATTGGATATCCTGATGCGCTTCTTCATCACACATACTCTTGCTATCAATAAATGAGACTTCTATTTGTTGCCAAAACAAAGGAAAGCCCCGAACAATCTAATGCAATATGTAATGACAACATCTACAAGTGATTAAATAGTTCGGGGATTATCAAACGATGGTGTGCTCAGAGCCTTGCATCAGTCCATATGGGAAGACAGATGGTTTGCCCAATATGTCACGGTCTAAATGGGAAGAATGTGAAGTGTTTTAGCAGAATCACCAACATCTGGAGCAAATACATACTGAAACAAAACCTCTGGTGGTGTTTTGTATTACTTTGGTTTTTCGACAGTGCTGACAGCTAATGTGTAATGATAGCTTGCTACCACGACCAAAAAATTTAAAGAATTCACTCTAGCTTCGAGACACAGTTAGATAAAACAAGATAATGCAGAAGATGAAACGTCAAAAGTACCATACCTGGACTGATTTGTTCAGAAATTCTGCCATAAAAAAAGAAAGATTGTCAAAGCCTTAACAAAGACAGGCTAGTTTCTAGCATTATGAAAATAGAACTAGGACCATTCTGATTTGTAAGCAAGCATGAAGCGAACCAAAATGTTGTCAAAAATGCTTGAGCTTCAAAACCAATCCAATTCAGAGAAGTTATTACTCAAATTAGGACTACAATTGAATTCTAAATTTTTCACATGATACTGGAAACTGATATCATCATTTTGGAATTTTCGAATAAACAAATTTTTTGTTTGTAAGTCAACTGAGTTAAAGTACGGCAAAATCTAGGACATTTATCCTTAATACTTCTTATTAATACAGAATCGTTGTAAGCAATGTCACAGCCTCATGCAAGTACTCACTTTGGCAACCGCAGGAACCGAGCAATCCCAATCTGATTGTTTTCTTTTTCTTCGATGCAGACACCTGCAAGGCTTCCTAACCTCACTTCAAAGTCATCATCAAGTAGTATGCTGCTAGCTTGAATGTCCCTTTAAGATTCAGAAGAGAAGAATCAGAAATGAATACCATAACGTCATGTTCTACAATCAAATCCCCTCCCTTAGGCCCCAACACCAGAAAAATTTAGAAAGAAAAAGACAAAACAGTGACATTAGGAATCTATCTAGATATGCTAGCACTGGGTTACCTATGAACAAGGGGTGGAAAACATTCATGATGTAGATAACATAAGCCCTCTGCCACTCCAGTTGCAATCTTCAACCTCGTGGTCCAATCTAATGATGGTAACTGGTTAATGTCATCATGCGCCAATAAACTTCCCAGGTCCTTGTTAGGGGTGTATTTGTAAACAAGAAACTTCTGATATCCGTTCTCCAAACAATGCCCCAGAAGGGGGATCAGCCTAGAATGATAAACCATGCTGCAAATTTCCAATTCTGACATAAAACACAATTCATTCTCAAAGCAAGAAACATCGACTTGTTTAATTACCACTTCTGTGCCACCTTGCAAAACACCATAAAAGAATTTGCCAGAATGGCCATGCTTGATGAGATTGGAGTCACTCAAGAAACGTGTAGCTTTAAGAATTTGACTATAAGTAAATGAATCCCCAACTAATAAGCTCCCGAAGTTAAAAGATGAAACTTGGCCAGTCTGAGAACTGAAACTGAGAGATGGTGATCCTGATAACAGTGATGCTGAGGAAACATCACTCGGGGTTCTCAGAGCAGTGAGCCGGAGCTCCTCTCTGCGCAGAGTAGCTGTAACCAGCCGTTCCCAATTGTCATAAACCACAGCCATATATGGTGATCAATCCCTTCTTCCCGTATGATTATGTATTTCCGGAATTCTTGGTGATGAAAGACACCAAAATACTTGTATTCAACAGGATACAAACAGACTAATCCCACCCCAATCCTAAATTGTAGAAAACAGAAAGGTAGCATTGTGCCATGCCAGTCTCGGAGATGAAGTCGCGCTGTAGTATGGACGTCAGCCTGGTCCATGGGAGAAAAGTAATCACAGAAAAAAATGAATTTTCTTTGTTCTTTCTCCAGTTGACTGAGTCAAGTTCAACGCTTTACCAAAAATAAAAATTAAAAAATGTTAAGGTAATCTATTTTTAAACTGCTCGAATAATTTTGTAATAACATATAACCTTTGGACAGTGTTTATATAAACCTCTACATGCAACCTTTACATGTCAGAGTATAAAGTATCGATGCAGGCAATAATATTTGAGGATGTAGCTCCGATTTATCATTGGATTTTCCTCGCATTTTTTCATACATTCAAGTACAAAGCTAATGGATGGATGACCAAGTGTCTGATATTAAGATGGAGATTGTGGAAGAGATTCGTCAAGGGTTCAGGTTTACGTTTGCTTTTGATTGTTTCCATCTACTCAAGTCTTTCTACTCTTGTCAAGTGTTCCAATAGGCTAACCCAAACCCAAAAAAAAATGCAAGCAACAACTTGCCTTTGTTATTGCCCAGCTGCTCAAGAAATATAGGGTCAGAAAATGTTTGAGAACTCCATCAACTTATATATTGACCCCTCTAAAATTTTGAATGTCTCCTTTTTTTTATTTACATTTCCTCCCTTGATAAATTAAGAATTCTTAATTCTTATGCTTCATAAAGGTGTTAGATCTTATTAAGATTAGTTATTGATATAAATTCAAAAACAAAATCTTTTGGCGTTTTTAAACTACTACTGCGTTATAGCGAAACTTAGATGTCAAAATATAATTGACATAACGGAGAAAGTATGTTTAACATAAGCATTTTTTTTTGTTGTAAATTTGCTCTGATTATATTCGATGTGGTGTCCAAAGTTGAACCTTATGACTTTAGGTCCTGACTCCGCCACTGATAAACTCTTTCCCAGTTAGTATAACAAGAAACTGGCTCCAATATGTCTCGGTTTACAGCAGAACAGAATTTAGTACAGCTTACCAAAAGAAGAAGATAGTGAACACGAAGTTCCCTGTGTCAGAAAACATATCAGATCTCTATAACCTTAAATTGACAAATGACAAAAAATACAATAAAATCTTCTCAATATCCAGAAAAAAGGTACCTTTTCTACGAATTCTAAGGACATGAGTGGTTGATTTTTACAACAAATTGCTGACTGACAAAATATCAGCACAAAATATCAATTTTGTTCTGTAGGATTTCTATCGCTACAAGAAAAATGGGCTCTTAACTACTTGTACGAGGCGGGATTGGAGAACAATGATTGGAATATATAGTCTAAGGGTACAGGAAAAACATATATATAAGGAGCTGCTCTTTGAGAAAGCTAGTCCAGCCGCTATGCACTTATATGGAGTGGATGGGAACCACGGGATGGATATCCTTCATTCCTTGGTTGCAGACCACTTCCTCGGGTGGAGTTCATCTCCTGCCCTTTTCGCTTTTAATTGGCAGATTCAATGTTTTCTAGTACCTCCACAACTTGTTCCATTAATGGTCTTGACAAGGGGTTCATAGCAAAGACATTTTACGGAAAGCTGAGCCATTTCTACACACCATGCAGGAATAGAAAAGAATATAGAGCTCAAGTCCTCTATAAGCAAGCGATAACCATATTACAAATAGGTAGGAACAATTGGTACCAAACGAAGGCTGTCAGAGATGGGCTGGTTACAAGTTTCGTGGAATTACCGGCCATCGTTGAAATTGCGGAATGTACTCAGCATAAACTTTTTTAACAGCAATTACTGCTTCAGTGCCACAGTACGTGGACGTCTGATGAAGCAAACCTTTGTATACCCTCCCAAACGCACCTCCTCCCAAAAATGTGTCAATTTTGAAATTTCTTGTAGCAGCCTTAAGCTCCAAGTATGTAAAAATCCTTAAAATACAGTTAGCCAAGATTCCACTGCGTGGATAAACCTCTTCGTTCGCATGAACACGTAGTTCCATGAAGCAGTGCTGTTGCCTGAGGATCTGGCATTTTGTATTGCCTGTGAAAGCCGTCCTACATGACAAAGATAGGCGGTTGCCATTTTTCTATAAGTCAATAGAATCAAAGAACTAATGCCAATATACTCCTATTTCCGTGCTGTTATATTCAAAATCAAAAAGGGCAAAAGAAGAAAGAAAGAAAAAGATTTTTCGTTCTTATACGTTTTTGTTCTGATATCAAAACTCCAGGTTTTCTCCGGCATCGGCTTCCTTGTATTCTGTCTAGACAGATGTTAGAAAGAAGAAATATCTCCAAAACTCATCAGCTAAACAAAGTATGGACTAATCATCATACAAGATCAATTGAACCTGCTCATCAATTACAATCAGGTGGTTAAATTCCCAGTTGATCCAAAAAAATTTCCAACCAAATTGTACTACGCAAGCTGCCATGTGAATCTATGGCTTAATATGGACTTTCCGTGGATGGAGGGTGAACTAGTATGTAAAGTTTAGAGTTGATTTGCCACCATATGAACAATCAAAAACAAAATATACCCCATCAAAGAACAACTGATTGGAAAATATCTTAAGCTAATATCTTGACAGGAAAAAGAAGAAAATGAACAGGCTTGACAGAAATCAATATACACCTACCTATTGTTCGAGATCCCTCAGGAAGTGCTGTCATTGTAGGAGGTGGGAAAAGTTTGCTGGGATAACTAGCAGGTTGAAGATGTCCATTACTGACCCTGGTCAATTTAATATGTTTTACAGCCTCAAGTATTTCTGGCATTTGTGGCCGCTTGGAAGGCTTGTGTTGGACACAAGCCTTGGCAACAAAAGCAAGTGCCCAGACTTCCATTAAAAGATGCTCATCTATGATTAAGGAATTGTCTACAATGTTTAGGATGAGTTTCTTATCGTTTGAAACAACATAGCTTAGGGCGTTTTCCATCCAATCCTTCATACTGGAGCCATTGGCAGCACTGACACCCAGGTTGCCAGTGACTAACTCAAGTAAAACATTTCCAAAGCAATACACATCATAAGAACAACTTGTAGTAGATGTACCTGCAGCATAGGAGATAGATGCAGAGAATTATGTTTGTGAGAATCAGCATTGAGTTGTACTTATCATGTCAAAACATCTTCTATTCTTAATCTTCCAGAAAAAGAAGAATAATGCTTTCCATGAACTTCCCTTTCCTATTTATGGGTGATTGGAAATGCTGATATGCTTCTTCATTGCATATAATCTGCTCTTCAAAAATGAGAGATTTCTATTTGTTGCCAAAACAAAGGAAAACCCAGAACAAACTAGTGAAACAGGTGAGCACAACATCTACAGTTTGAAATAGTTCAGGGACACAGAGATAACAGGGGAAATAGAAGGATGGTAACCTCAGATAAGTCTATCAAACTAGTACATATAAACAGTGAAGACAGATGGTTTCCCAAATATGTCATAGTCCAAATTGGCAAGAATGTGAAGTACTTTAAGCAGAATCAAAAACATCTGGAAGCCAAAACAAATAATAATTGAAACAAAGTCCCTGGTGATGTTATAATACATGCACTGTTGGGTATTGCTAATCGCTAATGACAGCTTGGTACCACCATCAGACAATTCAGGAATTGACTCTAAACGCAGCATCAAGACACCATCATGAAAAGCAGAAGATGACTGACACAGGATGTAAAGTAAAATTTGAATCCAAGTCCCATACCTGTGGTTTGTTTTGAACCCCTACATTAAAGGAAGAAAGATTGTCAATACAATACCTTAATCAAGGGAGGACTGGTTCTAGCATCATGAAAAATGGAACTAGTCCTATTCTGATTTATAGGCATAAAGAGAACCACATTGTTGTCATACTAAGCTTGAGTTTCAAAAGAAGTCCACTGCAGAGAAGTTTTTACTGAACTCATAATTATAATTTAATTCAGAATTTTTCTCACATAATATCCGAAACTGATAATATAACTTTGGCATTCCAAAGATATTTATAAGCAGTTCTCCTCAATGAAATTATTATTGTTTATAAGCCAACTAATTGCTCGTTATAGAATGGTAAACTCTTGTACATTCATGCAAGTGCTTACTTTGGCAACCTCAGGAACCTAGCAATCCTACTTTGGTTGTAGACTTGTTCTTCAATGCAGACCGCAGTAAGGCTCCCTAGCCGCACTTCAAAGTCATCATCAAGTAGTATGCTGCTAGCTTGGATATCCCTATAAGAATCAAAATAGCACAGCATCAGACATGAAGACCAAAACATCTGCAGTTAAAATTCCCATTCTGCATGCCCCAAAGCCTTTAAAAGAAATAAAAACAGAAAGAAAGGGGTTAATATTAGGAAGCTGTCTTGACATGCTAGTATTAAGATACCTATGAACAAGGGGTGGAAAACATTTGTCATGTAGGTAGCATAAACCCTCTGCAACTCCAGTTGCAATCTTCAACCTCACTGTCCAATCTAACGACGGTAGTTGTTTAATTTTATCATACCGCATAAAACTTGCCAGGTCCTTGTTAGGGGTGTATCTGTAAACCAGAAACTTCTCGTGTCCATTCTCCAAGCAGTGCCCCAGAAGAGGGACCAGTCTAGAATGATATAACATGCCACAAATTTCCAATTCTGACATTAAACATAATTCATTCTCAACGCAGGAAAGATCAACTTTCTTAACTACTACTTGTGTCCCACCTTCCAAAACTCCATAAAAGAGTTTTCCAGAGTGGCCATGCTTGATGAGATTTGAGTCACTCAAGAAATCTGTAGCTTTAAGAATTTGATGATATGTAAATGACTCCCCAACTAATAAGCTCCAAGAACTTAAAGATGAAACCTGGCGTGGGTTTGAGCTGAAATTGAAAGAGGGCGATGCTGATGCAGATGATAGTGAAAATACATCACTCGGTGTTCTTAGACCACTTAGCCACAGCTCCTCTCTGCGCAGAACAGCAGTGACCAGCCTTTCCCAGTTGTCATAAACTACAGTCATCTTTGATTGATCAGTCCTTCTTTAAGTTGACTGGTGAATTGTTAGTGCAAGATCTTCAGATTTTGGCGTCAACACATTCCTTAAAATATGTATGGTGCTGTGTAATTAAGAGGATATTGAAGAAGAATTGATCAGTGTTGTTGGAGTCTTGGTTGCATCTTCAAGGCTTCAATCCCAAGTCTTTTATTAATCTTTGACTTATGTCCTGTCTAGTTGAATGGGACAAAAGAAAATCCCCCTCGGGTATTGTCGCGTAATAAGATATAAGAACTAATTCCAAGCCAACAGGTCCCTTTTTTTTGCCCCTTTTTCGGTTCTTGTTCATCTTTTGTTTAATAGTAGAAGTCTGCTTGCCTGGTTTTTTCCAAGTCAACATATTTGCTTCGACAATATCCAACATTAGCTAGACGTAAATACCAACTCTCAGTTTACAGCAGATCAAATTTAGTACAACTTATCCAGGGAAGAAGATGGTAAACACGAAGTTCCCATTGGCAGAAAACAAATAGGATCACTACAGCCATAAATAGACAAATAAACTAATATACAATAACTTTTCTCAATGGCCACCGCCCCCCCCCCGCCCCCCACCACCACTCCCCCAAAAAAAAGTTACATTTCCTACGAATTCAAAGAACATCAATTGGTTGATTTTAACCAAAAAAAAAAAGATCTGATGAAAGATCAGCTATATCAATTATGCTCATATGATTTGTACTGCTAGAAGAACAACATAATGAACTCTTAACTACTTGTAAAAGGTGGGATTGGTGAACACAAATTGGAAGTGGTCAAAGTGTACAGAAAAAACAGATAAAGAATGAGCTATTCTTTAAGAAAGCAAGTCCAGCTACTATGCACTTTTATGGAGTGGATGGGAATCATGGGATACATATCCTTCATTCCTTTGTTGAAGTGGAGAACTATGATGCAACTCATCAAGTGCTTCTGACCACGTGCAAAACTGTCTTGCAGAGGAGTTTATCTTCAGGCCTTTTGGGTTTCAATTCGCAGATTTAATGTTTTCTAGTAACTCCACAACTTGTTCCATTGATGGTCTCAATAGGGGATCATACATAAGACATTTTACAGCAAGCTGAGCCATTTCTACAGCACCTTTTGAAGAATATTTGCCTTCTAAGCGGATATCAATTATATTCTCCAACATTCTCCTGTTAGTTAAGTGAGACGAAATGAAATGATGCAGCCTGGATCTCGTAAACTTTGGATGATTCACACCTATACCTGTCAGCATTTGGACCAATACAACACCAAAACCATATACATCGCTCTCCATAAGCAAATTCCCTGTTTAAAAAGAATTAACACAATTGAGACTACATCTTTCTCTCGGCATCTTGTGCAAATTAAACTTCTATAAAGAAAGTTTACTCAGAGCTTCTGCTCAACCTCGAGTACGTAAGTGACTGAGATTTCTGGTTGGATTACCTGTCGGATAATACTCAGGAGCAGCATATACATAACTTTCCGGGTTACATTTGATGGGATCTGCTTCATAGTCGATGTCAGGAGGATCTATCCTAGTCACACCATAACCTGATATCTTCGCATTGTATGCCTACAAAGAAATTGTTTAACAAGGAAATTAGGCTTGTCTTGCTAATATGGTGTCGTCAACATTAGTTAACAATGGAAATCAGCAACCTAAGTGTAGGCAGAAACCTCCAAGCTTTGGCAAACAAATTTATGAGAAATCTTGCTTGCAATAAATCAATATTTGTTGAAATCCTGCATCCAACTTACATCATCAAGCAAAATCTTTGAGGGCTTGAAATATCTATAGAAACCTTCTCCCATGTTCTTCTGGTTAAAGGAACCTTTTCTCTCTAGTGCATGTAAGAATGCCAGACCTCGGGCTGCTCCAATTAAAATCTTAAGCCTTATGTCCCATGGAAGTGGCTGAACATCAGAGTACCCTATGGAATCAAAGCAACACGAAATTGATTTCTTAGGATGGCAGATCAGTATAGCTGGTGGTAGACTAACTGAAATTGTTAAAATCAGAATCATAATCTACATGTAAAAAGGTGAGAGTCCAAGCTGCCTCTTTGCATATATTCATAGATAAGTAGTGGCTTTTCATTCTCCCAACAGTAGCCAAGGAGCTTAACAAGGTTAGGATGAGACAGCCTTCCAAGCATGTTTAGCTCAGCCTAACCAAAAAAAGAAGGGGGAGAGAAGTGAAGCATTGGAACAAATCCGAAGAATTTTGCAGTAGACAAAGAAAGTTAAAGTTTCTTAACAGATCATAATTAGGAGGACTAATCTACTGGGTTGTCCTTATATCTACCTCAGAAGTGAAGGAAATTAATTACTGCAAAAGAGATAGCAGCATACATTTACAGAAATGAAGGTCTCAGTAAAGCATATGCTAGAGACTCAAATCAAAAGACTGGAGCAAAAATAGTGAAGTGAGGAGAAATTAGAGGAAACTGGATATGAAGTGACTGTCAAATATAAGTTAGTGACAAGTTTAGTGTGTATTACCTGCCAGTCTTTAAGTCCTAGCACAGTGTCATTGTAAAATCTTTTAACAGCAATTAGTGATTGAGTGCCACTCTTTGCGGTTGACTTATAATGAAGCAAACCTTTGTGCACTCTCCCAAATTCACCCTCTCCCAGCAAGGTGTCAGTTCTGAAATTTCTGGTAGCAATCTTGAGTTCCAAATAAGTAAAAGCACATAAACTGGGGCTGTCCAAGATCTCTCCATTTGGCTTAACCTTTTCAGTGCCATTAGCATCCGAGAACTCATGGTTACCTGAACTGGAGCTGCCGCATGAAGAGGTAATGTGGTTGGACGGCGTTGTCCATCCTACAACATACCGATAAGCCCTTAAAATTTATAAGATTATCAGTACGTAATGAACTAAAGCTAGAAATGATCTTGTTCCCATGCTGTCAAAATCAAAACTAAAGGGGACACCAAAAACATATACAAGGAAAACTAATCTGGTACACATTGTATTTCATCATGCAATAAAATTAAGTTAGTACTCCTCTCTTTCTTTTGCATCGAGAAGTGGTAAAGAAATGCAAAAGAAAAAGGCAGCCAAAAAATCATCAGTCAAGTAAATTTCTTTTCTTGAATGCAAAAAGATATCAAAGAATTACTAAATATTAATATCAGAAGAATAGTTGCACCTTCTGATGTAGTGTTGCAATCAGATAAATTTACCTAGTACTTTAGATCCCTTAGTAATTTCTGGCCTTGTAAGAGCTGGGCCAAGTGAATTGGGATGACCAGCACGCTGAAGGTTTTTGACAGTGAAGGTAGCTGATTTGGTACCTTGTAAAGCCTCAAGTACTTCTTCCATTTGGGGCCGCTTAGATGGTGTGGCTCTGAGACAGGCCTTGGCAACAAAAGCAACTGCCCATACTTCCATCAAATCATGTGTGATTAAAGTTGGGTCTACAATGTTTACAATGAGTTTCTTGTTGTCTGGATTAATGTAACGCAGGGTGTTTTCCATCCAAGCCTTCATAATTGAGTCATTGGCATCACTGATGCCCAACTCTCCTGTGATTAGTTCAAGTAAAACCTTTCCAAAGCAATATACATCGTAGGCACATGTTGCATTAGATGTACCTGGTCATTCAAGATAAGAGTTCGACTAGTGAAATCAGTTCAGCCCCTTAACCTTCTGGACTTTTTAATCAAACTTCCTCCAGATTTATATGTGAAGCAGATTAAATAGAATTGTTAAATGAACAAGAAGGAATTTGCCTAAAAAAGTCAAGCTTACTTCTGCACATAAGCAGAGGAATCAGCTTCTTAGGTTCTATACTTTTGCCTTTTAAACTCTTTCACAACATCACAAGAACACATTGTTTGAACGTTGTTTGCTTAAAAGAACATTTCTCCAGCTAATTTTCCTTTTTAACCTTTTTTTTTTTGTGATAGACCATGCTGTCTGCTTCTTTTTGCAACATCATATGCTATACCAGAATGAGAGAAATTCTTTTTGCCAAAAATAGAAATTCCACAGACAACTAATGGGAAAAGTAACCAAACCATCTGTCATTCTAAGGATATCAAACATTTTTAAAAAGTCCCAAGGTGGTCAAGAAAGATGGTTTGCCAAGTATAGTCTAGATGGCAATGGTGTCAAGTTTTTTAAAATTTCACTGACATAAGGCGGAACAATTCCTGTTTTAAACAGAGCTTCTGGTGATCATGGTAACAGCTTCAAGCCATCTTTGTATCTTTGGATATTGCTAGTGACCTCTCTCTGCTCTGCAGATGCTTTAAAAAATTGACCCTAAAACTAACAGTCAAGCTACTGGCATTTCAAGTAGGATAACAAAGAAGGAAAGTGCAGGATGTAAAAGTAATCTGAAAGTCCCGTACCAGAATTGCTTTGTTCATAACCCCTGCATACAAAGAAAATCTGTCAAAAAACTCAACAACAATAAAAACGAAACATTTAGAAATGAAGTCAAATTGGTCAAAAGAAAGAGGCTAGTTTTAATTTAATATGGTTGAAGTACCAAGCACATGAGGACTCAAAGCAACTCTCATAAATTACAATTAAGAAATCTATTCTATTTTCTCACATGATTCTCTGGATCATAGTTACTGTCAGCTACAGCAAGCATCAATCTATGCTCTCCCAAGAATAACCTTATTTGTAGATTTAAGCCAAGCAAATACTAACCTATGGCTCGATTTTTGTAAGTTCATCAATAAGAGAACTGCTATAAGTATCAATATAAAGTAAAAACTTACTTTGGCAACCGCAGCAACCTTGCAATCCTGTTCTGATTGCTGTCCTTTTCTTCAAAACAAACCTCAGCAAGGCTCCCCAAATGCACTTGAAAGTCGGCATCAAGCAGAAAGCTGCTAGCTCGAATATCTCTTTAAGAATCAAAGTGAAGCAAGTGAATTGCCTTATGATAATAATCCACACTCAAAATCCTTCCCAAGCCCTCAAAAGCGAAAATTGCCTGGAATAGATTTGGGATACCTATGAACAAGGGGTGGAAAACATTCATGATGTAGATAATATAAACCCTCTGCAGCTTCAGTTGCAATCTTCAACCTTGTTATCCAATCTAACGGTGGTACTCTGCTATAACCCTCATCACTACCCGAGACACTTTCTCTATGCAAAAAATTGGACAAGTCCTTATTAGGCATGTACTTGTAAACTAGAAATTTTTTGTTTCTACTCTCGAAGCAATATCCCAGAAAAGGGATCAGTCTGGAATGATAAATCATCCCACAAATTTCCAATTCTGATATTAAATAAAATTCTGTGTCTACGGGCGACAGATGAAGTTTCTTAACTACCACTTCAACCCCACTTTCGAGAACACCGTAATAGAGATCCCCGGAGTGGCCGTGCTTGATGAGATTGGAGTCGCTCAAGAAATCTGTAGCTTGAAGAATTTGACAATACGTAAATGAATCCCCAACTGATAAGCTCCTGAAATTTAAAGATGAAACTTGGCCGATCTGAGAACTCAAATTAAAGGATGGAGATGCTGATAATAGTGATACTGAG